TGCCCACTGGACAGTGGCTGGTACCCCAGCACTTTCTGAGTGGCCCGGCAGTCCCGCGTGGTCTTACCAGTCATAGCGGAACAGCCCCAGGGAGGATGCGATTCTGTCAGCAGGGGGGGGGGAGCACCGCGGGGGGCAGCGGCTTAGGGGGCGTTCCCGCAGTGCTCTGCTGGGCTGACCCTTTCATGGAAGCCAGTTCCCTTCAGAAGCTCCTGCGAGGAGTGGTGTGCAGAGATTGGGCGAGGCGGGCGGGTTCCAGGGGCTCCAGGCAGAAGACGCAGTGACCAACCAGAGGGACCAGTGCTGTCGGGACGGCAGGTGGCTGTCGCCGTCGGGCTCCGTCTTCTGTACAGGACGCGTGTGAGGCGCGGCGGCCCCGTCGCGGCAGGAGCCTAGGTGAGAGGCCTTCTGGCTCGTCTGTCTGTCAGTGTCCGGCGCTGCCTCCGTCCAGCCAGTGTCTCGTCCACCCCCGAATCCTGACTTTCTCCAGCCCTGTGCTTTGGGTCTCTAAAGTTAGGTTTCACTTTGGCAACAGCAGACGCCTTCCTTCTGGTCAAGTGGCCACTAAAGCCGCCTGAGCCGCCCGCTACGTGAGTGCAGGCGGCCGCATGGGCTCTCCCAGACTGCCAGGGCCCGTGTTCCTCACCAGGGGCCCTTGGGAGGCAGCGAGGCCCGCTGGGGGGGCCCAGCTGAGTCCCCGGCCGCCGCCCTCCCGTTGGGGCGTCTCCAGCCGAGAGCCCAGCGCGTGTGTGGGGCTCAGGTATCAGTAAAGAAGAGCCAGAGCAGGGCGCTGGGCCCACCCCCTTTGCAAAGCTTTTTCTTGACAATATTTGAGAGATTTCATAAAAATTTTAATCGGGGTGGGGGAGGGAAGCCTCCGACCCCCCCAGCTCCGCCGCCCAGCCCCCACTTGACCCGCCGCGTGGATTCGAATTTCGGGGCGTCTACCTTAGCACCCGTCCCCTCCTCAGGCTGCCACTGTCCGTCAGTCCGGGGTTCTGGCGGCCAGCGGCGCGAGGGCCTGGCTTCAGCGCCGGCTCTCTCCGACCCAGCACAGGTCCGCAGGCCCCACGCCGTCTCCCCTCCCGGGACGGCCGTCACAGCTGAGGCCACTCCCCTCATGGGGAAGTCGACTAAAGCAGCTCGACTAAAGCAGCTCGGCCGTGAGGTTTTCATGAAAGCAAAGTCACCTGCTTTTCATTTGATAGTGTGGTATTTTATTTTATAAATTTTTTAGGGTTTTTTTCTCGCTGTAAAATTGTACAGTTCTGCATGGCCCGGGCGTAATCATCTTTTTGTTTAGAATATAATGCTGACGTGTGTGTGGAAGAGGAAAAGATCCTGCTTTGGCCTCTCGTCACTCCTCGTTTCATTTTGTTCGGTTTACGCCCTCCGTGTCTTAGGGAACATTATAAAAGGTTCTCTGCTACCAAACAACGATGTGGATTCTTTTGCACAGAAATATTTAAGGTGGGATAGTCCAAAATATAACCAGAGACTCCTCGCCAAAGTTTTATGTTGGTATCACTCAATATTAACCAGACTTTGATGTATTGCAATAAAACGGGGACTGTTGGAATGGAGTGTTCTGTCTTTTTTCTCCCCGATCGCAAAGTCTGGGGCGTGGAGAAAGGGCGGCTCCCCTTGCTGGGTCCTTCCTGCGGCCCCTGTTCATCGGGCCCCTGCCCGGCCGCGGGGCTGGAGCCTATCTCCAGGGCTTCCTCGCTGCTTCCTCGCTGCTCAGGTCCGAAGGGTGTTCAGGTGTCTGCAGCTCCGGGCTCTGAGACTCCCTCAGCCTGCAGGGCAGCCCCATGCCGCCCTGGCCGGGGGCACCGGGGGGCCGCCCTTCCCTTTTGTCTCCTACAGCCACGAGCCTGTTGCCGTTGGACTTTGGCTGCTCACTGCAGAGAAGCGGTGGGAAGACGCTGCTAACGCACGTTAGTGCTGCTGCTTCTGCCTCGCGTTCAGACGGCACGCGGAGGCCAGGGACTGCTCGACGGCTTCTAGGTGGTTCTGGACTGCTAGATGGCTCTGAGGCCCCTTCCCGGCCCCACCTCACAGACGCTGACATTCCTCGCACTGCCGTGTGGGCTCCTAGGGCGTGTGCACTTCAGAGGCAGGTGAGCCAGCCGGCCCCCAAGGTCCTTGCTGAAGGTACAGGAGCCAGCCGCATTCAGCTGCTGGCCACGGCCGCCGGGGGCCGCTCGCGCCTGCCCGTAGCCAGGACTGCCTCGGCGGCCGTGTGGATGGCCTTGAGGCCTGCGGCCTCAGCGACAGGCAGCAGCGGGCCGGCCCGTGGACCTGTTTGCCGGCCCCGGGTCAGGCTGCAGGGACGGAGCGCGGGGCTGGGGGCCGCTCCCCAGTCCCGCCCCTGCTGTGAGCGGGCGCGGGCCGCCCTTCCCCTCGCTGCCTCCTCGGTGCGGTGTCCAGAGCGGCACGAGCGAGTCTAGCCTTGCGAGGGCCGCGACGCGGACAGGGGGAGCAGACGCTGGGCCCGGAGCTGACCTGTGGCCCAGCGCCTCCCCGGAGCCCCCCCAGACCTCTCCTCCGTTGCAGCTTCCCGCAGGCCTGTTCCTGTTAGACCCCGACTCTCCCAGACGCTGAAGACCAGCACGGAGCCCTGCGGTCTGTGCAGCTGCTCCCCGGATTCCAGGCTAGACGGCCCCCACCTGGGAACCAAGCCCAGGGAGCAAGAAGCCCCACTGCGCCCCACGCTGTCTGGCGCCCACCTCCCCCTGGCTCCGGGCAGCCGAGGACTCCCACGCGGGCACTGGCCTGGGGGCCCCGAGGGACACGCAGCTGCCCGCGCCCCCCTCGCCTGCCCGCGCCCTCTTCTCCGATGACAACTGGGGGCCAAGGCTCCAGGGAGGCCAGCGAGAGCCCCGTGCCGGGAGCAGCTGCAAACCTGGCCGCAGCACCTGGACTCGGACTCGGACTGGGCGCGACCAGCCCCCCCACCCCCCAGAAGCCGCAACGCCGGTGGTTTGGTTTCTTTAATTTAACAAGTAAGTCAGACAATTACGAGACTTGTACAAAAATGAGCCGCAGTGGCCGGGTGATGCCAACGTCCATCCCCCTCCCCGCTTCTCTGCCCGGGCACACAGCCGTTTCTGGAACCTTCCGAGTGTCAAAAAAGCTCCGGCTGGCCAACTCGGACTTGCTGGCACTGCTTAGAGCAGCTCTCCTCCCGGGCCCAGACCCCGGGCCGGGCAGGAGGAGGGCAGAAACCGCACGTCTCTAGCAGCACGCGCAAGTCTCCGCCACAGTCAAGCCCAGGGCCGGCCTCGGTTTCCCCGGCGGCAGGGGCCAAGGCTCTGTGCACATCTGGGGACGTCGACGTTCACGTGAGGAGGAGAAGTCCCACTACTGCGAGAAGAAAATAGTAAAACTGCCTTTTTCTCTAGCGTTATTTCAGGGTGAACACACAGCCGATGGCGACGGCGAGTCTGGCGCGTCCTGTGCTCGGGCTTCTCGCCCGCCCCGTCCGCGCCACCCGGCCGCCGCCCGGGCTCCGTCCCAGCGGGCACCCCGCGGCTACTGCTGCTGCGCCCGGCCCCGGCAGTACTTGCTGTAGGCCTCCTCGAACATGGCCCTGCAGGGAAACCGGGCCTTCAGCCTGGAGCAGATGAGGAAGGAGCCCCCCATCTTCCTGTGCAGGGAGTAGGTCTCCTCGGGGGGAGGGACGAGCCGGTGCTTCAGCATGATGGGGATCAGGCTGTGGATCTTCTCGGTGGTGCTCTGGGTGCCGAAGTCGAAGGGCCCCTCCGAGGCGAAGGCCTCCCCCAGGATGAGGATGGCGTCCACGTGGGCGTCCTCCATGGCCTGAGGCGGGCAGGGGCGAGGCCTGGAGTCGCAGCTTCCCGCCGCGCACGGAGGAGCGGCCGGCGCCCACCGCCTGCCTAAGTCGGGCGGGGGGTCGGGGGGGCAGGCAGGACCGAGCACACCGGGCTCCTGACACTAGCGGGGTGGCGGCCTGCGGCAGGATGCGCGAGAACCCCGCCTGGACTGAACTCCCGAGGCGGGTCAGCGGGGGTCAGCACCTAGCGACCCTCCCCATGGGGGACCCGGGTGGGGTCTGAGCCACCTCCCCACTGTCGGGACTGGAGCCGGGGCGTCCGGCCGCCCGCACCCGCCTCACCCTTCCCGGTGAGGGCCGCCTGCCCACCCGCCCCCTCCTCGCGAAGCGCCCACGGGCTTCACGCCCGGGACCGGCCCCCCGGGGCGCTCCAGCCACTGCGCCCTGTCCGGTGACTACCAGGGGAGGGGGAGCAGCCCAGCCCCCCAGCGGGAGCCCCGCCCTGGGAGCCCTGGGCCAGGGCCGCACCTTGGCCTCGTAGCCGGTGAGGAACTTCATCTCTATGGATTTCTTCAGCACCGTGTCCCTGTCCCGGTCCGCAGCGGCCCTGATGATCTGACGGGTTCAGACGTGCACACAGGCTCTGAGGCGCGGAGCCCCACCCCACCTCCGCGCGGCCCCCCCCAGCCCGCCCCCTCACCCCTCCTCTCCCTTCAGTACTTGGCCTGGGGCAGGGCGGGGGCCTCAGGGACACCCGCGCCGGGACAGGCAGGCCCCACATGAGGCCATCGTGCTCCCCCAGCCCTACCTGGATGTAGAGGTCGGTGAATGACCTGTCAAATTCCCGAGATGCCCCAAAGTCCAGCAGGGCCACCTGGGAATGGGCGACACGGGGCAGTGGTCAGCCCGGGCCCCTGGCGTGCACAGGGAGGAGGGCGCTGCGGGGCGGTGGCCCCGGTCTCAGAGCCCCCCCAAGGGCCTCCCCAGCCCCCTGGGGCTCACCTTGTGCAGCTGAGGGTCGTAAAAGAAGTTGGACCAGTTGGGGTCCGTCTGCATGAAGTGGAACTCGAACAGCTCCCTCAGGCACAGGACCAGGATGTTGTGGCAGATCTGGGGGGGGGGCAGCGTCAGGCCGCTGGTGAGGCCTGGGCCCGGGAAGGCCGGCCTGCTCGCTGCACTGCCCCGCACGGCCACCTGCCGGAGGCCGGGCCTCAGGTCCCGGCCAACCGCTGGCGCCCACAAGCCCTCCTGTCCCCGTCCCCCGTCCCCCGTCCCAGGGCGGGATCGCTCGCCCTGCGGAAGCGCTCAGGCCGCCGCCGGACACACCTCATTCCGGATCTCCTGGCTCAGGTCCTCGGCCTGGTCCAGGGGGAAGCCGGAAATGAGCTCCGTGGTCAGCACGTGGGGGCTGCAGAGCTCATCCACGATTTCGGGCACGTAGAAGAAGGGGTGGTCCTTCAGCAGCCCCCTGGCGGAGGGGGGCGGTCACTCCCTGACACACCCCCACCC